GTATTCAAAAAAGAAAGTTGCAAGATGAGGTTGGAGAGACCCAGCGTGTTGGGAGTGTTGGTTAGATAATGAAGGTCCTTGCAAGCCAGTAAAAATGTTTGTATTTATATCTAAATACAAGAGGAAGCCGCTGAAGGATTTTAAAGCAAATGAATGATGTGATCTGATTTACCTCTTAACACATTTACTTTTCACTGCTTAAGTGAAGAATGGACTAGAGGGTATATGAATTGAGACTAGAGAGCGAGCTACCAATTAGGCATCACAAAAAGATGAGATTTGTATCAGTCAAGATTCTTGATCGTAAACAATAAAAAACAATGCCAACTGATGCAAGCAGATAAAGAAGGGTTTTTTGGTCTGTTTAGTTTTTAAGAACATTTGGGAAGTCTGCAGATTCTGCAGGAGGAAAGAACTGGGCTAGGAAGGAAGTTTAACAAAGCCACACCACAAAGTCAGTTCACTGAGGTGATCATCACTGCCAAACCCTGGACAAACCCACTGCTGCCACTGACACAAGAAATCTGGCCGCTGGAGCTAGACCTCCCTCCCTAATCCCCAGCTCCAACCATCCCACATATTGCTGACATCTTTGAGGCACTTACCCACTCCACTCAAATAGATTTCCTACTGCTGAAACTTGAGGTTACAGGTTACTGATTTAAAGTTTGTATGCATCTTATTAACCAAACCTAGTCCACATGCCTATGTTCTAGATGCAGAGGATGCATATACAAGTATCTGGCATCTACGGTGATAGTGGGCTCTGCCTCCTAGCAAGATGCATTGTTTGGGGAATATCCCAAAGGCAGGAGGTCTGCATGATGGGAAGCTGAGAAAATGACACCTGTCCAGTACCAGCATGGAAAACAGTATGGTAGATTTAACTTCTTTGCACCTATCACTTTTGCCATATAATTTTGCAGTCTCCCGACTAAGAGTAGTTTTCCTCATCCTTTGACCTTTTCCTTGGCCATGTGACTTTTTTTGTCTATAGGAAGAGTAGTAGTACAAGCAGTATATACTTGGAGGACCGAACTTCTCTTTCATAATGAAAGGAACGTGCTTGTTTGCTCACTCCAACGAGGCTGAGACATGTGGAACAGACCCACACTTAGTGTGAAGCCAACCTATCTTCTCGCAGTCAACCCCAGCTGTCCTGCAGAAGAGAGCCTGGCTGAAATTAGCAGGTAAATACTCACTGTTTGCCTCTGAGTTTTCATGACTGATTATGCCACAAGTTGATCAGATACACTTGAAGAGTATTTAGAAACTCCACAAAGTCATGAAAAGGCTGACAATTAAGTGTAAGCAAGCTTTAATTATGGGAACAAGGAGTGTTCCAGTGTGGATACAGGACACGTCTGTACTAAATTCTACTGTGACAAGTGGCCAGTTAGCCTTCATATGCATGGTCTTCAAAATTCTTTTGAGTATTTATTAACTTTTATGGCTTACAAAACACTTTTTGCAAACATGATTATAAACCCAGAAGTACTGCTGTCATCTCACCTAAGCCTTGCCCAGGACCCCTCCACTGTGGGCTCATAGCACTTACATAACCTCTAATACATCTCCCATACTAGTGAAATTAACTCTACACGTGGCTGTCAGTCCCACTAGATTGAGAGCTCATTCAGTAGTTGAGCAACATTCACAATGGTTCCCCATCTCGTCATGAGTAAAAGCCAAATTTTCCTAATGATTTTCCATAAAGTCATTAATGATGTGGTTGGGCCCCCTGCTTACTCACCTGGTCTTACCTCCTACTCCTCTTTACTCACACTGGCCTCTGGTGTGCTCTAAAATTTTAACAAGCCAAGGAACTTCCTGTATGTCTTCTGCCTAGCCTATGCCTCCCCTAAATACACATTTGGCTGTTTCACCTTTTCCGTCTCTACTCAAATGCTGTATTAGATGCAGCCTTCCCTGATCAACTTACTTAAAAATTCTAACCTTTTCAGCCTTTTTGCCATATACTTTGTCCAGTTCTGTAACCCTAGGACTTAGTCTGTAACACAGCTCAGAATGTTGCATGCATAAACATTAAACTGAATATGAAGTAAAACAGACGGCATCTGTGCTGACTGCTTAGAGCTCTAGATAAACTCATGGCATAAATCCATCACCCCATCTCATAGTGGGGAGTTAATAAGCAGCAGTGAATGGGATGGATAATGGAAGACAGTTGTGCTCTATTCAGTGTCATGTGTCTTGGGATACACCAAAAGCAATCAGAACTTTAAAGACACAGCCAAAGATAAAAAAGCATGACTCTTCAGACCAGATAATCCATTTTCTAAAACTCGAGCGAGGTGCTTTTATCTATCAAATTTGAAGATTCTATGATGACTATGTAATTGTGGTAAGCCTAAAAATTTAGGTACTTTCATACCTTTGCTGGGAAAGGGCCAATTAGTAGAGCCCTTCTGAAAAGTAACAGTGATATATACTGGTGGTATTCAGTGAGCCTTAAAAATGTTCATACATTCCGTGACTTAGTTAAAATGGGTCTATTTTAGGATTTATGGAGAATAGAAATCTTGATCTGAATGAGCACCCATGTTTAAAATCACCACTTAACCATCAGGGTACACACTGGCCAAACCAGGTAAGTGAATAGGAAAGTAAATCAGCATGCATCTCTCAAGTTATTTACAGGGATACTACTCTTCGCAGTCTTCAGGTAAGTGATTTTCATATACCATTTTAATGTAAGTGGGAAGTCCTAGTGGCTTCCATTTGGCCTTTATCCCAAGGTTTTGAGGACTCTAGTAAAACCACAAGAGGAATGAGGGTTCCACCAGGCTTACCATTTAAGTAGACTTGGGTCATAATCCTATCCATCTCCTAAACCCCCATTCTGACTTTTGATCACAGTGGTGTCCGTGCCCCTTGGTTCCCATGAACTAGTATTGCACGCCAGAATCCATTGTTTCTGGGAAGCTCTCCAGTATGTAGTTAAATGGTTGCAGAATACCTTTAACTTAGTAAAGTTGATCATATGCACAGGTAGTTATTTTCCATTTCTGAAGAACCCTCTCCTTCAAAGGGTTCATGACTATGAATGTTTAGATGCCTATCTATGTTCCTGGATCCAGGTTTTTGGCTGTAAAATCAAGACCAGTCTGTCAGCTGAAGCCAAACTGGTGTTATGTGCATTCATATCAACAAATCCAACACAATCTTGTCTCAAAATCTAGCCCTATAAAATTTACTAGTTTGTGAGTATGTAAGTGGGTGAAACTTTTTTCTTTCCTAGTCTAATTCAGTTTCTCCTCTTGGCCTCACCAAGCTGAAATACTGATTAACAGGAAAGGAGGACTGAGAATTTTTAATTTTATCCTGGAGCATACTTTCACTATGCAAGGGAAACACATCCATTTTAGGTGTGGGTTCTCAAAGGCCTCCAAAAAACAAAACATATGCCAACTGTTGGGACCCTACTTATTTCCTGAGTAATGAGATCCTAGTATGTTTACAAATTTTAACTATTTTAATTTAGCAACCCTCTGCACATCAGCTTTGTATTTGGCTTCAGTAATCTTAGCCCCACAACTATAAGCAACACTAGCATATAAAAATCCTGGTTCCCTTGCCTTGAGGTTAGAATTTCAAGACATTAACTTATTTACATGTCTTTCTCTCCCATGGTTTTTTTTTTTTTCTTTTTTCCAGGAGGGTTGCAGGGAGGAAGCTGTAGCTCAGTGGTAAAGCACCTGCCTAGCAGGCAGGAGGTCCTGGGTTCAATCCCCAGCACCTCCACTTAGGAAAGCAAGGGGAAAAAGCACTATGGGAGGTGTTGACTATGGTTTTCTTAAATATTCCCTTAATGGTTTTTCCTTTAGAAAAGAGTAACTGAAGGGAGGTACTTGGGATCGAACCCAGGACCTCATGCATGCTGAGAGGGCACTCTAGTTTTTGATCCACCGCCTCCCCTCCACCTCCTAGCTGTTTAAAAAAGTATTTAGTGCTTTGTTTCTTTTGAGTAACTGACAACATTCCTTCCTTCTAGTAACATGAACCGTTTTGCTAGGAACAAAACGGAAGCCTTCATCATATCACCGATGTTGACCTCACAGCTGGCAGATATATGGCCTCCTTCTATTTGGTCTTGATTTCTTGTTCTTTTTTCTCATTTCATTGTATATCCTTTATGTGGCCTGCTTCGTTATTTTTGGAGAGAAGTGTCAGAAACAAACTCTTTCCTTTGGGGATGTTGAAAACGTCCCATTTGTTCTTTAAAACTGGTCGTCAATGGCAGCAGTTAACCCAGGGGACCCTCAAAGTTTCTCCTTTCATGGAACCAGATGACCACCATCAAGCACACTAAAGACTACTACTTGCTTTCTTATCTCAGAATAGGAAAGGCGTCTCAACACTCTTCCACCCATCTCAACCTGTTAACTTCCTGTCAAGTTTGGCAAATTAAGGCCTATGAATACTGCCTACACTCCACTACCAATATTTTACACCACCTTGTCACCCAGATTAGAGGCAGAATGACATCAGCATTTAACAATACATATTGAGACCGGTCCCAAGTTCAGATCCTAGCATTGCCTTCAGTAGCTGTTTGTCCTAAGGTAAATTACTACAGACTAAATATAATATATGGGAAGTGCTTTACAGAATACTTGGGACATGCTATATTTTATCTAAGCATACAAAGATCAGCAGGCTAACAAACTATAATTACCCGTATATAGCAATTTCCCTAGAAATGGCCATAAAAATAACCTAAATTCAGAACAAGGCATTTCAGGCACCTTCAGGGCAAGTGTCGGGACTAGAGTTATTTTAATGTAACACCATCCCCCAAGTGGAGATGATCACTCCACTACCTAATTACTCTTAACATACTTTCTAACAATACACAGTTTATCTATTTAAAACAAGAATACACCTCAGCCCAATGAATACTGCTTGAGGGAAACTTTAAAAAACTCTAATATGTAGCAGGGTTAAACATCTTCTTTATAAACTGAGTTGTACCAGCCTTTTACTCTTTTCATTTGCATTTATTTAAACACATTTCTCAAAACATTTGAGTGAAATTGGGCCTCCTTTGGTAAGCAAAGGACCTGAAAATAATATTTAAAAAATGAACAGGCAAAGTCTTCAGTTCATCCACAACACAGGTATAGTGTTCCCTTCTCTTTTCCCGAACTCTGAAGCACCCCGTTTTTCCATATAGGCTAAAAGCTAGAAGAACAAGAGTACATTTGTGGTGGAATGTATTGTAACTTGCTGATAACTAGTTGAAATACCATTATCGCCTTGTAACAGCTTTAAGAAATAGCCTTTTTAAGGCATACATTGTGTAACTCTTATCTTATTCCCTGCTATATATAATACAGATTATTACATAAAGGCCAACAAATCCACATTTATATAAGCATTAAGCATTTACTGTATTGAAAGTTCTTTAGTTCTAATACTAGCAGTATAGAGTTACAGAGCATAATTTTTAACACTTAACTGCAGGTATATTAAGTATATGGTATGTTTCATGGACTGGAGGAAAATGGGCATTTTTGTCTTGAATTTTACTGACAATCTAATCTGAGCAGTTCTGCTAAGCATTGATATGTTAGAAAGAAAAGTAAAAACCAGACTTTATTGTTGCTTTTTGCCATTTGGTAGCATTTTACACACAGGCTTCGATCTTCAGAATACCCTGGATTCAGTAGAAAAACCTTTTAAATGAAGTTTTGTACAATAGAAACTTCTCAGCAGTCAAAATTTAGACTGTAAAAAAATACATGCAAAACATACTTCTCTGAAAACACTTAACTTTGAACAAAGCACCGAACTACACAAATGCAGAATGAAAACAGCATTTCAACTCCACCAAAAGTAGTCATCATAAAAGGTGTAAAAGTCACCTAACTTCACTAGGCACTGTTCACTTTTTAAACAGGAGACAATAAAAAATATTGTCCACGAACAATATCCCAACTCTAGGGCAGGTTTCAGAAAGTCTTCAACTTCATGCTTTTTAATAGCGACCTAGGAAGAAAAGAAATGTTTCAATACTGAGAACTGATCATCAAGTATATACTTTTAATGTTGAAAATTTTAAGACTATTCTGCCATCAGGAAATTCCTATGTACGAGATCCCCTACTGTGAGAACAGAAGACATTCACATAAGGGTTCCACTAAGAAAACCAATGTTAAACAGAAATAGCTGGGAGTATAACTCAACCTGATAGCTAAAGGTTTAAGTCACTCAAATGTTTCCAAGCTGTACAAAAATTGTACAAAAACTGTAAGGACTTCTTAAAAAAAAACAAAAGGAGGGAAAGTATAGCTCAAGGGGTAGAGTGTATGCTTAGCATGCACGAGGTCCTGGGTACAACCCTCAGCACCTCCTCTAAAAGTAAATAAATAAACCTAGTAATCTCCCCTTGCCCCCATGCCAAAAGCTACAAATGGTGACATGACATACATTTGCTATCTTAACTAGCAACAGTAAGATTACAAGGGTTTGTTTTCATATACTTCCTTGAACCCTACAACACAAAAATTGAGGAGAAACAGGGAGAAGTACTGAATCAACCCGTTACCTGCTGTGGTTTGTTAAGTCAGGGCAAGCCTGCTATTAAAACAAAAAAATCTTATCAAGATAAAACTTACGAGGAGAGTATGATCGAGATCGGGATCGTGATCTGTATCCTCCACGACTATAGTAAGGAGAAGGTGACCGTCTTCTGTAAACAAATGTCAAGATCATCTAAGACTCTACAGATTACAGTTAGACTAAATTGACACATGAAAATTATATATGGTCCCTTTATCAGTTTCAAAACCTTTCAAAAGGTCCTTATTGACCTTCAAAAATATTCCATTGGTCATGGGATGTCAAGGTCTTTTTCAGTCCTGAGAATGAAGCACATAATCAGGCCCAGTACCAAATAATCTAACTACTGGAGATTGTCAACAGATCAAATATAGCAAGGCATATATTCATTCAATCTGCTGACCCATTTTAAATTCTGTTAAGTAGAATGTTAAAGAAAAAATTCTTACCACTAGTTTTAACCATATCCCATGAATGATACCCAAAATAAAATTTCATTCATAGTACTTCAAAGTGATTTAGTTTTGCATAAGAAAGACTGACTTGAATATTCACTTGCTTATTCCGAGATGCTTACAAAAAGCCAACAAAACTATCAGGAATAAACAAAGAGTAAAATATTATGGGTTCTTAGTTTATACCATCATGGTGCCACTGACTAAATCACCTAGTGTAAGCCCAATTAATTTCTGTAAACACACAAATTAAGCCATGTACACATTATCATTTGGCTTCAGTTTAGTTTTTATGAACTTCACGCAATCCAATTTTGTGCAACATGACATAATTTAACTACCAAAATACTAATAACCACATTTTATGTGAGTCATTCTACTAATACTGTTACAGATTTTAAATCTTCTGGTATACCTATATATTTGATCCCTGTCTTGAGCGGCTCTCCATCCTCCTCCTCCTCCACCGCCTCCTCTGTGTAGGCAGAAAAGCAACATATATTCATTTTTTATAAAGTTTTTGAAAGTATACAATTCATGCAATAAAACTATGACTCAAGAGAAGTGAGAGCTAGTTTCCTTTAAGTGATAAACGGCTGCTTTTGCCACCTTTTACAAACCGGCAAAGAGCTCTCCCTGGTGGTTAAAATAAGTATCATTAGAAGTAAATGCTCAAGTGAATGAAAGTAAAAATAAATTCTAACACCCTAATCTATGCAGCCTCCACAAATCAATCCCTTAAGTGTCACTTAGTACAGAAATGTCATTTTTAGCAGAGTTTCTTTTTGTCAGTGATAAGTATCAGGACTGTCAACTTCTTAAAACATTACCAAATGGGGGGCAGGGTATAGGCTAGTGGTAGAGTGAATGCTCAGCATGCCCAAGGTCCTTAGTTCAATACCCAGTACCTCCATTCAATAAATAAATAAACCTAATTACCCCATTACCAAGCAGTCTTGGGGGTGGGGGAAGGCAGGAGACATCCACACCTCAACACCACACTAAAATTAGGTATCCAAAGAAGGATAACTGCTGTGGTCAATACTTACTATGCAATTTACATTTTGACAAGACAGGCTCTAAATTACCTGCTGCTGCTAAAATAAAGGAGACTTTCACTTCATTTTTACCTTTCAAAATATTTCCTATATCATGGGCATTTCCCTACCAACTCCTGAAAAATGTATCAGTATTTTTGGTAATAAAAAAAAACAAACACTGATCATTGTTACATTAAATTATTGCCCTTAAGACTTGTTTGGACTCTCTCAAGAATCAGTTTTTCCTGCCCTCCAGTGCATACCTTAGATACCAAAAACTTGCTTTATAAAACAATGGCTTTCAAAATACAGCACATGAAACTCACTTTATGGTCTATAATTTTGTTTGCACCGTCACATTTTAAAACAGGGATTTCAGCTGGCTTACAACTTGCTGTTTAAAACATATACATATGAAGATAAGTTAAAAAGACATAATAACCATAAAACCTAGAAGTCTGCATTTTAGTATTAAAGGTAATGACTTGATGAAAGGCTAAAACTTAGGTATAGCACTGCTGTAAATTAGGCTGCAACTGAGTCAGGAGAAGAGATAGTTTGTCTTTCAGTTTTGGGGGCAACTTAAATTTCGTATTATGGTTAACTTACCTGTATGATCTACTATAATAGTCCCGATCATCATAGCCTCGATCATATCCTCTGTCATAGTAATCCCGACGGCGTGAGCTGCCACTATGAATAACAAATTAGTAAGATTTATATAAATTTGATTTTACCTTTAATAGTTTAATTTCCAGTATAAGAAAAATGGTCTGATGACGAACATTTAATTACCCAGCAAAGGTCAGAATCTGTTATTTCTTTATGATAAAATGGGATGCGATCTATTCAATGGTATCAAAATTGTGCCACCAACAGAATGTTTCCACTGAACATAGGTTTAGCCAGTCTGAAATTCCAAAGATCCTCCCGCCCCCATCATGCACAGTTCTTCGAAGTTAAACTGAACTGTATATCAAATTTTAACAAACTTGAAAATAAACTTACTAGGTAGGTCTCCCCATGTAGATTCCTGGTGTTGGGGTATGTGGTCTTTTTGTTATAGAGAAATCAACTCTGATCCTACGTCCATCAAGCTCCATTCCATTGGCACGCTCTTTTGCCTTCAAAAAACCACGTAAGTTGTCATATACATCCTGGACAAAGCCCCGAACTATCCAAAAAATAACTATACATAAAGTCCAACTGGAGGTTTCAGGCCAGAACATTATGGATTTTCTGTCCATTAAATATTTGTAAAAGCTAACCATAAAAGCCCAGAGAAGTTTGCCTAAAAAGACAAAAATGCCAGTTTAACCCATACATACTTGAAGTAATTATTCTACTTAACTACAGTTTGACAGTGCTTGCACCTCTAAATACATACATACATAGCTGACAAACTATGACCCATGGGCTAAGAATTTAAATGGCTGGGGCGGGGGGGATCAAAATAATATTCTTCATAAATGAAATTACATGAAATTCAGTTTAGTTACCATAAATGTTTTATTGAAGCACAGCCCCAGTCATTACTTTGCATACTACATACGGCTGCTTTTACATTACATTACAATGGCAGGCAGAGTTGAAAAATTGTCACTGAGATCTTACGGTATACACAGCCCAAAATATTTACTGTCTGATCCTTTACACAAGTTTATGGATCCCTGGCCTGCTATGGAAGCAAAAGGCTAGGATGGAGAAAGTTTGAATTACATGTATTTCCTTCATCTAGAATATACACTAAATGAAACAGTACGCACTTAAGGAAAAAATATCCCAAAGACTCAGCAGTTTGCTTACAATTTATTTAAAGAAACCCCCCCTCACCTGAATAGAATTTAAACTTCTAATTCCAATTATGCTACTTTCTAGTTTGTTTAAAGCCTCCAAACAGTTTTTGGCACTGCTGATTCAGATACAAAATATGCTGTCTTTCAAGAAGCTAACTGCGGTCCCATGAAAAAAGAAAAAAGAAAACCAGGAGGCCTATACTGTTAATAACCTTGGGCAAATCCTATTTACATCTCTTGGGATCAATCATTACCAAAATGAAAATGTATGCCATCTTAAAGCATCCCTTTAATTAAATCTCTATTACTTGCACTCAGCTTTCAATTCTTCTTTTAGTAAATGAACTTACTCTATTTAAAAATTAGTTTATGGTTTTTAAAAATTAGTATAATCTTCACAAAAATTATATAAACTATGTAGTTTTATTTAGGGCTCATGTACTAATCTCAATATTGATCTCAGAAGGCTTGTCATTAAGTTTCTCAAGCCTTTCCCTTGCTTATACTGTCCCTAGAGATGACTTCAGCTATCATCCTTATGTATTTAAAGTCCAAATTTCTTAAATGTGGCCTAGATTCACACAATGATGTATTTTTAGTCTACGTACTAAAATGTTTTTTATTTTGTAAATTTTGCCTCAAATCAACATCAAAATATAAAATCACTTGCCAGTATATACTCAAAACCAGTTCCTTTCACCTGAGCCATGACTTTTATCAGCTTTTTAATCAGTTTTTCTCCATTTTACAAAGTAACTCAATGTAAACAGAGGTTAAATTTTCTAAATGAGCGTATCATTATCTTAATATTTTAGAGATCTGTATTGAGACACATATCACATCTGGAAACAGTCAACTACACTGGAATTTACTTCAAATAATGTGGTAGGAGACCAAGTTGGAATACAGAACCAACTGTCATATTTTTCTGTTATTCTGGATACATTTGAAATTTTCCAAATTAAAAGGCTGGGGAAAAAGTTCATTTTATTGACTTCAATAGCTGTTCTCAGAAGAATAGATTTCCTTTAGCTCAAGGTACAGTTAGAAAAGGCAAAAATTGTCCTTATCCAAGTACTTGAAGTTAACAATAAGACTGGTATTTTTACGAAGTTACAAGACTTTTACTTACTTCCTTGGCATCATCTACATTTTCAAAATATACAAAGGCAAATCCTCTTGAACGTCTGGACTGCTGGTCATATACAATAGACACATCAGCAATTGGGCCATATTTAGAAAACACTTCTCTTAGATCCCTTTCTGTAGTGTACAAGCTCAATCCAAATACTCCAAGACAACAGTTGGGATCAGGATTTGCCTAGAAATAGAAAAATGGATTTTAAACTTAAAAATCTGTCATATTTTTTTAAAGGGATCATGCACAAATTAGCCAAAAATGCCACCAATACTAAAGTAGATAACTAAATTAAATACTATTTACAAAATTAGTGTTACAGCAGCACCACAAGCAAGTTTAAAAATGGGCAGGAAAGATTGTAAATAATCAAGTGGGGGTAGGTGGGGGGGGAATAGCAGTTCATATTAGTAAAAAACCTTTTTTTTCTTTTGGAGATTGGAGGGCAATTTGCCCAAAGGATTCACCTTCCAAGACTTTATTCTAAGAAATGTCCACACACTCACAATATGCACACACAAGGATAATCAGAATAGTAGTGTCTCTGTAAGCCAGAGGGGAAAAACTATTTAAAATGTTGAATTAAGATATACCACCCACACAATGGGAGGCTCTAAATTGTCAAAAGATACAGAAGAGCATGTTCAGCTTGATTTTATTTCTATAGAAACATCATATACATAGTGTTCACACACACACAGAAGATATGTACCAAGCTTTAACAAGTATTAAGCAGCTTGAAATCATTATAATAAATAAAAATAATGAACCAAATGTTGCTGATATTCCAGTTGCTATAATGAATTTGCCTAGAAGTTTCATTTATTTCATACACATATTTACAATAGTCAAATTCCATCCCATTTTCACACACACATCCTATAAAACTATTCGGATTACACAATGAAATCGCAGTATGAACACACTAAATGCCATCTCATTTGGAACTTCTCTTGGAAGGTAGGAGCCTTAATACCTGAAAACTTCCTTATAACTAAATGGGAAACTCAGGAAGAGCATTCTGTAAAAACCATTTAAACAAACCCAGAAAACTTGAGTAACATTATCATGGAACATATAGGTATGTTATATAATCTAGTGTACTATTACTGTACCAGTAATGCACAGTGGAGTTTTAACTTAACAGGCTACCAATATGATGCCATTTTGCCTATATGCGACCGATAACTCAAATGCAGATTATTACATGGAAGACATCTTTTTTTCTAAGTAAGAGACAGACTATCTCAAAACACTTAAAAACAAAAAAAAACACTAAAAAGCTTCTCTACAGGTAACCATGCTAAAGCTCCACTGTCAAATATCAGTTTTGACATCAAATGAAACAAAACACAAGATAGAGAAGATTATTATAAAGTGGCTTTAGACAGCCCATTGCTTCAGAAACATTATTTTTCATCTTACCCGATTCCCAACATGACGCCTGCGAGTAGACATGGGAGAATGACTATGGCTATGTCGTCTTCGATAATCTCTACTGTAAGATCTGCTACGGGATCTTCTATGGGAGCGGGACCGAGATCGTGACCTTGTATAATGCCTTCGAGAACTTCTTCTGGATCTAGACCTGAAAGACAAAGGATTCAAGGTTATGATAGCTGACAGTTAAGATACAGCTTTCAATTCTTTTACTACTCTATTCTAGATTTAAAACTCCAAAGGACAGAGAACACACAATCCAGGCATATACTAACATGATACCAACAATTAGGTGGGATCAAGACTTTTCTTCTGTATCTAGTCATTTCAACTCTGCTAGGGAGAGTTCCAAAACCACTGCTATCTAAAGCTCTCTTCCAACATTTCTTAAAATAATTAAGATAAAGAGAATGAATTAACAAACTCAGTATCTTATCAAAACCACAAAACATGCAACATTTCATACTAGCTTCATCTGTGCCCACCTTTCCCCATCGGAATACCACCCTTTATTTTTGTTTCTTGCATTATGCCCCACCATTCGCTTAAAATCACCATCACAGTAGTTCTCTCCAGCAGTATTAATATCAACCAGTTGCTCTTTACAATGATCATATGAGCTGTCATCTAAACCAGGGAGGACACACTATGAGAGAGAAAGTGAGTGCTGTTAATTATGCCTGACAATAGGCATAAACTGGGGCTGACCTGGGCAAACCAGGAGGTATAGCCTACTCTTGACGAACATAAAAAAAGAAAGAAAGTGCGCTGTGTTAAGGCATTGTTTTATATATACATGTATGTCATACTAGACTATACCTATTTATCAAGAATTGCAGTTACTGAAAAATCGGTATTCTGCAGTCTATTTGCCATACACTAATAAGTAGTTTAAGTTACTTAAACTCAGAGTGAATCCTCACAATTCTGAAGAACTGGTACTGTTACTAACTTGCCTTTTAGATAAGGAAGCTAAGATTCAAAAAGGTTAGGTAATCTGCCCAAGCCAGAAAAAAATAGAGGTAAGATTTGAACCCTAACACCAAAAGCCCAGGCTCTTAACCACAATCTTCTGTCTCCCAGACCTTAAGATTAAGTTCATTTCTAGTTACCAATGTTAAATAAGCCAACAAATGATCTAACCTCTCTATCTTCCTAGTTTACAAAGCACACACCAATTTCAAAGCTAAGAGTAACAAGATAATCCCACAACAGTCTTTCTTACCTAGATTCAGATCTGGACCTGGACTTTGATCTGGAACGCCTGGAATCTTCCTTGGAGCGAGACCTTGCAGGGGTATGCCTTGCAGATTTCCCAGATCCATGAGCACTTCCACTTCTGGAAGCAGAACGGGATTCCTACACGTAGATGTCAAAAGTTTAATTTGTATACTTTCTGGGCAATTTTAAAAACAAATAAGCTGTGGTGAGATAAATGGTGAGGGAAAGCAATCCCCTTCCAAGATAAGAAAACATAGGTAAGGGCAGGAACTGAATATACCTGGTATAATAGTTGCACTGCTCCAATTGACGTAAGTCAATTAACTTGAACTTCCACCCTTTTTTTGGAGCAGGGATAAGAGTTAACTGACCCCACTCTCTTCAGAAATGGGTGCCAAACAAAGCCAAACAGTTAAGGGAACTGTCCAAGGACTGTTTTGGGAATGTTACTCCATAAAAACTAGGGTGAGAAAGAACCTTATTAACTATGACACCTGTACCTTATACCTATTTCAATCAAGTCACCAGCAATAAAAAACTCTGTAAAATTCATAAAACTTACTTTAAAATGCTTTTGATTCTTTTTCATAAGACCATAGAATTTCAAGTCTTATTTATTGTTGAGTGGGGAAAAAAGACAAAGATATGTTTCAAGTCTCAGAGAAAGGTAGAAACCTAGTGGAAAGCAAGGACCAGCTTGGAGGACACTAGACCTGAAGACCCTGTCTGTCTAACCACGGTGGAAGGCCCCTAAAAATCTGAAAGCAACCAGATGGAGCTACAGTAGAAAGGCAGTCAACTGCAGAGGTAAGAACTGAGAGGGTGCCAAAGATGTACAGCTTCCTAAGTGGATATGAGCCAGGGCAAATGGATAGGGAACTGGAAATAAGCAGTTAGAAGTTACATAAAAAATATATTAAAACCAAAATAGATCAGGGGCTCTTAAAGGAGGCTCAGTAAGGGAAGAAGTTCAGGAACTATATGTAAAAATCAAAATCTAGATACACACTGTATACCCATAGCTTTCCCTATCAAAACTGGGCTAGCTGGCAGACAGGTAGTACAAAAAAGACCTCTAAAAGGAACTAGCAAAGAAATGGGTAAACAGGATAATAAGTTTATCAGTGACCAAAAGGCATGTAATTAACTAATTAGTGGGAAAAGCATAAATACAGTAAGTACTGGATCCACGGAAATATTCTGCCAAGGCACCAGAACAAACAGTGGAAAAGACAAGAGAATCCACTCAGTCTGATAGCTAACCAAGGTAATATCATGCAAGACAACCTTTATTTCAGGTTATCCAATGCAGGCAAATTAAAAGGCATTAGTTTAGTGAATCTTCCTGCCCAAGATAGAGCAGAAATAACCAGACTCAAAAAGAATCCACATTACAGTAAATCACTCTTAGGGTTAAGAATCAATGTTGAAGCTGCATAAAAGTTATCATAAGAGACCTCCTTGTGTGGTAGACCTTCAGAATACTCTGGCCATTCTTGAAAAGATAGAAGATACGAACTTATTTTAAATCACAGAACATATTATAGAGTATGTTCTGTGACCTACAGCATAGTCGAAAAAATTTGGAAGATCCTTCTTATGATGCTGAGGGATCAAATTCATATACAACACAGAAAAGACAAATTAAAGCTCGAAGTTTAGAACACAGAAGAGTAATTCAGCAGGCAAAGTGAGTTCTGGTCTCTACACTTAAAACAACTCTAGAAACTTTCCAGTAAGATTCCCAAGTTATTATAAAACATGTTGTGAAGTGACATGAAATGTGACAGCCTCCTCTCCTTTCCACCTTAAGTTAGTAGAGATTCCAAGAAAAAAATGGCATTCCTCATTATTAGGGGTAACAGCTGCTTTTGACATTAAGAAATAATTAAAAGATATACTATGGCTTTAGGGACCCCAGTTAACAATCCCTTGGCTTTCTCTGGCAAATATTCTGAACACTCAAACATTTAAAAGCACAATTCACCTCCTTCTCTCCTTGGACAAAGAAGTTCTCAAAAATGGGGGGTACATTTTCTGCCATCATTACAACAGACAAAAGCTAATCTAGAAGTGAAGGTAGAAATAGGGACCCCAAAGTTACTTACTAAACGTCTTTGTTTATTCCAATGCTAGAAAGATTACTTCATAGAATGATTATAACCTTTAATGGAAAACCAGAGATAACAACTTACTCTGGCAGGGAGAAAATATGGGTGCCTTACAGTAAGAGTTAAAAGATAACCAATACAGTAACTGTAGTTAATAGAAATCAGTCTAGGGATCTGAAAAAGGCAGAGAGAGTAGAAAATCAAGATCATCTTTTAAGCCTCTTGCTTCATTAATAGAAAAGTCTTTTTCCAAGCTCAGATGCTTTATCAGCCTGTCCACCAAGAGAGGAGAAAGTACTTCTTGCCTAGGAATAAACCTTAGTGAGGTTTCCCCATGAAAATTCGAGCAGATCAAGGGTCCACGTTATAGTATTTATGAAATTAAGACTTTACACTCAAGGGTCTAAACCTCTAAAACTAATTGGCTATACGCAGATGCATTTTGTGAGCAATCTTTTCTTAGATCAGGAAAAAAACAGAATGCAAAGGCTTTCCCTTCTGTACTGATGTTAGGCTAACACAGAAACAATGCCTCCACCTCCTACCTTTTCTTTGTCAGGGAGAGTCTTAATGTTAAAACCTTTTGTAATTATGTTGGCCATTAGCTGGTTTGGAAATATATGCAAGGATATTTAGCCTGTCTAAAAGAAAAGACACCCAAAATTATTAGCCAAATATAAAAACATAAAGTTAACTTTAAATCTTAGTCCTTAGTCCATGGTCAAATATGTAAAAACAGCTAAGAAAGCCCCTACACACAAGGAAAATTCAAAGTCTACTCTCAGGGCCGACAAAACTATTAACTGTCAACATACTAAAATCCTACTAAAAGAAACCCTACTCTGAACGTCAATACCTCAAGGAAAAGGGTCGTAAACTTCAAGTTAGCATGAAAAACAGAAAAGGGAAAAATTCCCCATAAACGGTTCAGGGAATCAAGTTCTTATAGATTGGACCTTAAGTCGTATACTTACATACAACCTACAGGGAACACATCAGGTAAAAACAAACTCAGCCTTCCAACAAAATACCAACCTGTATCTCCCTGTTCTGAGAATGGCAGTATCTTACAAAAACCTTTTGAAAGATGCCAGAAGTGGGGAAAACCATCCAATCGCTACATTTCTCCTATTTTAAAAACTGGATGCAGTGAACTAGATTTTGAACAGTGGCTCCTACAGGTATACAGTAATCCTATTTAGCATTTGAAGAGATCCCTAACTAGAGCTTATTTTAGCAGGTCTGGAGTTAGTTGGGCATCTTTCCTTTATTTAAATATACCACACGTGTAATTATGCTTCCTATCTGAATTTTTCTTGGCAAAGGCATTTTCCCTGGAAAACTTGTTTTCTGCCATCTTCTCTGTCCTACCTGCCCCTTGGTATTAATCAGCCCTCCTGGGACATGTACCTTATAGCTTGCCTGAACACAAGAGGCCTGTTTCCACCTTATCCTCCTGGCAGGGAGTGAAAGGAGACACACTCAGAATCAAAGATGCTTTGCCCAGGGCAGTGGGGGAAGCTGGGTGGAGAGAAAACCTGAATGGATGATGCTCCACTAGCACCAATGTTTATTTTTGCTTTACATCTTTCCAGTTTGGGCCATATAATCAAATTCCAAATTGCTTCTCCCCCTTTGAGGTATAACAGGTATTTTCTCTTTTGGTTCCCAAGGAACTTTCAGGTCTCCTGATAAAAGAACCCATGTATTTATATCACTTTTGCTTTAACTTTCTACCTAAATTGTAAGTCATTTTGAATGAAAAATTAACATTATCAAATTTAATGTTATGAGTTTGTATGTGGCAAATTTTAGAAAGCAATAATTGGGGCAAAGCAAATGCTGGAAACTACATCACCCATAAATGGGAGTAATTTTCTTGCTTGTAAGATACGAGGAAAAAAATTCTAACCACAAATTTTACACTAACAATAGGCCCTAATGTCTCAGAAAATGGATCCTATTACAATGTCTTTTAAGCCACTTTTCCCCCCAAGAGCTCTATGTCTGACAATTCTCGGAAAGCTTTTTAGGTTTTCATTTCAAGGAGAAGTGATATTCTTGGCTTTCTCAACAGAGCAGAATACTACTGAGTATTATTTTGACACACATACTTGTCCCATCCAACTGAGGCTAACAACACTGCACCAATCATTTGATTCCTCTACTCAGCTAAAACAGAGTAAAACACACAGAAGGGGAAACGACAAGAACTTTTGGGTCTGTTTTCCCAGTAAGTGGTGGGAGTGAAGAACTAGATATAGCTACTTAATGATCTACACCTCTCACATCATTTTAACAGTTAAGTGTTAATAGCAGAAAATGAGAAAAGGGAATAAAGCTGATTTATGAATAAAGCACCTATTACTGCCACTTTTGAGTTAGATATTCTGTTCACTTTTGTGACCTACCTCATTCTAAGGGAAGCCCCTATAATTTTTTTTTATCAGTAACCCTAGTCATTTAGCTGGAATATATGCATTAAACAGAAAAGAATTAAGAATCAGCTTGTGAATTTAGCATACATGCATCTTAAAGGTAGGGCCTAAGTGGTCATAGCTTTCCACTATTGCCATCTAGGAAAAAAAAATTAGTGTTTTTATAAATGCCAGAAGGAACTATCCTGTTGTATGCTTTGCTTGGATTTTGGGGGTTTGCTTCTGTAAACATCCTTCTTTAGGAAAACTTTGACAAACATATATTGCTCTGTACTGAAAGATAGGGGTCAGTGCATTTTAAAAGTCTGGGGGTGGGGTAGTGGCACAGACCACCAGCCCCAACTCCAGAGGTACTCACTCATGACCCAGGACTAGCAGAGCTAGATAGATGAAAAATCTAAAGGAGAAACATGAAGTCAGCTGTTACCCAAACTAGAGAGCTCATTCCTGCCTATTTGACTACAAAGTGTTATTATTTTAAGTTGCATTTCAATCATTTGACTAAGAAGTTAAAATAAGAATTACCTAATTTAAACGTTTCCCCTGGAAGGCACTTCTTTACCCTGTATATATTTTCTTCTATTAAACA